AATTGTCAAAAGTCATGTAAGTTACTTTGTAGGAATTTGTTGTCGGTATGGAAGAGAGTCGAACAAATACGAAGAAGCTGTGTTTACTTGAAGAACGTTTAGTTGAGCATCGGAAGCAGTGGAACTTGGAGCGCTTCCATAATGCGACATCACTATTTTGCGTAGGATGATAACGCAACAATTTCACTAATTGGGAGAGACGAATATGATGATGACGACGACGTAGCATGTTACGTCTTTGATGAAAAAATTTCCCCTTCCGACTGTGCCGCGAAATTCCCGTGTGTTTGTAAAAAGCCAAGTAAAAGTTTATTTTATACGATGACCTGAATTCTCTAAGACATTTCAATGAAAACTTTATGGCAGTCATAAAGCAAGAATTTACTAAAATGGCCACGTGTTAAAACAGTTAAAATAAAATTTTGAAAAAAAGAAAGCAGAACTGAACAAAATTTGTTTGAAGAATTCAAAAAAGAATTAAGAAGGCGAAAAACATTAGTGTGCTTCAGCAGTTTTTCGCTTTAGCGAACTAAAACAGAAACTGGTGGTGACGTTCTACCAACAAAAGAAACTGTGGAACAGCAATATTAAACTGAAAGTATATCTCTTGATTATAAACAATTTAGAAGAAAGACTCCAAAAATGTGATAAACGATGGCAAGAGTTTCGTGGAAACTGTTATCTTTACGTATCGCTCAATTTTTTAATTTAACATTCTTTACCATCTGCTAAAGTAGGTAATTATGAGAAATTCCTAGGTCATCCTGACTTCTCGTAAACTTTTTAGCCTTTTTGAATGACACTTCTTTGGCAATAGCACAGAATTTTTTACGCTTAGTTGACTACTTTTTTTTTTAACTTCAAAAAACTGTTGCGTTGTACAGAAAGGCGAGCCTCAATCGTATTAAGACCAAAAGATAACTACCAAAAACAACAGACCAGCGGGAGCCATATTTTCCGGACAATACAGATTACGTTAACTGTATTGTACTATTCGGTGACGGAAGACTGGTAGGGAATGCAAACTGTGGGACCCATCGTGAAGTTGTTGTTGAGCAATATAGTTGAGTCTGAATGTGTCTGCAGTATTATAAACTAGAATGATATTCCTACTTTTCAGTGGTCTAAAAGAAAAAATGAGAAGAAATACTTATTAATAGTGCTATAAACAAAAAAAATTTACCTTTTATCAAATTAACCTTCAAACTCAAATAAAAGCCTTGGTAAAAAAATTAATTAGAATAAACTTTTACAAAAGAACGGTGACCAAGTGTTGAACAAAACACTATAAAAGAGGATTTTAAAGCCTTATTTTAAGATTTCATTTTAGTGGGCAAAGATAAGTGTTCGCCTGGCTCGGTAGCGTATGGCAAATACTGCAACATCGCAGTAAGTCCTGTTTTTTTTTTATTCTACTTATTCAGCCTGTGAATGTGGCCTTGATGACTGCAATTACGTTCAATATTGCCTTAAATCATTTCCTTCTTCTAAAAACCCTATTAACATTACAACTCCAACGTCTTTTTTCTAAAAATGCTACTGCTTTTTGAATTGTAGTACTAAAACTTTACGAATATTCTTTTATAAAATTGCTGTTAATCACAAAAAATTTATTGACTGCTAGTCGGATTTCTCCTTCAAGTTCTTCTATAAACTGCGCGTCAGACAACAACGAGCTCAACAACTGGGAATAAGTAAAATGCGACAAATATTGGGAAGTTTTTGGTTTACACGTGTGCTTGAACTAATTCAATACTGTTTGCTTTCTGCAAAGCAGTTGTATCATATTCTTCGCTTTAGCCCTTACCTAGAAACGTTTTTAGGTAACATAGATTTCAAGGGGCAAGGATTAGAAAGAATAATTTGTAAAAAACACTTTGATGTTAGCAAAAGGAAGATGGATAGAAGCCAAATTTGGAGCTTGATGGTAAGTTATTCTGTTCAAAAATTCACTTTTAAATTTTTTGTAGCTTGTTTGTTATTGTTTGTTATAGCAGTGAAAAGCTAACTTTGTGCCGGCGCAATCACTGAATAATGTTTACTGAAAATCACGGACATACATCATTACTTCTTTTTTGACATTCTCCTGTAGTTTTTTGAAAAGCTAATTAGTTGGTGTATAAAAAATGAAGTTACGAAGAACGTATCACTGTTGGTAGCTGCCTAAGTTGCTATCACTTAAACCCCCATTTGAGACCTTGCATCGAAAATTATGAAAAAGAAAAAAGAAAGTTTTGGCTGCTCTGACCTCTAGCAGAAGTCAACCCTTGATTTATTTTCAAATTTGCACACTGGGTAGGTAAAACAAACAGGAAAGAAAAATAATCATATTATTGTTTCAAATGTCTATGGATTTATTTTATTCTTGTTAGACCAGAAACCATGAAAAATAGCCGTTTTATTTTAGATTTGTAGTACTCTCACTACCTATTAGCTTCCTCGACCTGTTTCGGTTTGGTAGCTCCTCTTTTCTTCTTTATTCCGGACGGACAAAGGTTGCTTGCTTTTTGGTCCATCCTACTTTCAAGGAGAAGTTTCTCACCGTTGTAGAGTGCTTTGTGCAGCAAGCTCCAGCGGTGTCTGAAAAGTGTCTAAGACACCTTTTATACAAAAGCGTGAAAGCATGGTACTTCCACGAAAAGGAGCGAGACCAAAATATCGGCGTTACTATGGTCAGCTACAAAAGTAAAATATTTACCTGACCCTTCTTCAACACTTTCAAAAAAATAGCTGGACAAACACAAGCTCTTTTTTACTGCTTTTTTTTTTTCCAAAAAAAAAACCATCTTGTCAACCTTGACGACCTTGTTAAGCCTTCATATACAAACAAGATTTCTTTGAAAACATTTAAGGCATACAATACGAAAAGCCTTGAAGTAAGCGAAGATAGTGGCACGACAGTACTATAGTCTTCTTATCATACCTTTGGTGCAATTTGCTTGCACAGTAGCAAAAGACTTTGTACTCAACATCGCGCTACGCAAAATACCTCTCCAATACCTAAACAGTTCCCTGAAAAATATTTCAAAATGAAGACTATTTTTTCCTTCAAAATTCTCGCTTTTGCAGTTGCAGCCGTTTGTGCGCACTACCGACCTTATTTTGCCTGCGGCGAGGGCTTTGCCACCACCACAGTTACAATCGCACTACACAAAAAATAATTCTAAGATTATAGCGACACTTCAAAACTACCATAAATACAAAACTCCTTACAGTAACTTAGCAAAACATTCACATTTTCGTAATTAAGTAGACAATATATTTTTTGCTTTCCTACAGAGGAAATCCTGAAAAATAATTTGCACTAATTTACAACCTGGGTTTCAACATTCTGATTTGAATTATTTATAAATCGTAAATCAAATAAAAATTATATCCATCAATGCTTAACGGAAATACAAAGGCGGAGTTCTTCAAAAATACGTAAAATTACAGTTCCTCGCTATCTTATAAAAGCTTAGATGCTAACTTTCTCAGAATTTGAACAAACAGCAAGATTTTTTAAAACTTTAAGATTATAAAAGCAAAGTTTTCTTTATTTTTATCGTTGGTGCTATCAAGGAAATACACTAGCTACACCTAACTCGCAGCAACCATCAAAGTTAACAAAACAGGTTATGCTACCAGACTGGAATAGCTAAATTCCTCAAAAATAAAACGACTTCTCTTATCAAACTTTCTTCTTCAGTACTTATTAACTGTTATTTACGTCCGCTTAGTATGGCAGCCTCACTTTATATGCCTTCTTGATTCTTGAAAAAAGTTGATAATCTATTTGGTCAAAAACAGGGGAAGCAAGGAGAGAATTTATTGTAAGTGTGAAGAAGATTAAGCGGTCAAATAAGTATTAAAGAAATGCAGTCTTTTACTTTTCAGCTGCATGAGCTCTTCAGCCGGAAGATTTGAGCGCAAAACCATTCCATTCATTTTACTCATGTTCATCTCAAACGCCGCGTTTTGCAGCGTATCAAATCATACCTAATGGAACTAACATCGACTTGTTACAGGGGCACGAATAAAATGTGACAAAACCAACTAAAGTCATCAAAAAAGTCCTGCTGTTTTCTCCAAAATCTCATCACACTAGTTGTAGTGCCACACTTTTTCAAACCCACATGACCTTTAGTGGTTCTGTCTCGCAGTTTTCACATGGTCAAGACAAAAATCGATTCATACGAAAATTAGAAGGTAAACCATGTTTGCTGAATGCGTTAAGCGAATTGAGAAGTGTAGAATCATGCTAAAAATGTTTGGGCTTTATGAGAAACCCCAAAAGTTTTATCATGATTGTTTTGAAATCCTAATGCGCTAAGAAAATTTGTTGCGCTTCTAAAACATCACTTTTTTAAACCATAAGTGGCCATCTGAAATGAACTTGCAATAACCACCAATATTCGCTTTGTAGACGAGTTTCGCTCGTTTGATTTTGTGAACCACAGCCATTTTTAGTGAAGGAGCACTGCAAGCCGGGTTTCTTCGAGTACTCAGATCGTTGTTATAAAATAGTAAGCTCTACTGTTTTTAAAGCTTCGACGTGTATGAAAGATGCATAAGAAACTGAAATTTTTCCACAGATTTCAAAGAGCTGCAGTTCTGTGAGACTTTTTAGAGAAGTGCGCCAGTCTAGAGTCTTTTTAGAGAAGTGCGCCAGTCTATAACAATTAAATTAGTTCTGAGCTTTCACATTTATCATCTACCTCTAACGTTTAAATTGTTTAATGATTATAAAAGTTTTTGAACCAAAGGCTTTTATATGTTTTCTACAGTTTAATGAAATAAAACATATTTTTTTTTTGGCATGCGCTACGCAGTGAAGTTCCATTTATTCTGTGACAACTAATTTCTCTGCGAACTATTTTTATGATGTTTAATTCGCAGTTCTGCTTCTTGCACTGACAACTTTTCTTCATTTTCTGCTTGAAAAGCTGAACAAGTTAAACAATTACTAAGGTTTTTAGTACTCTTACAAATACATTTTATGGGATGCTGAATCGGTCTGTATGGCAGAAGGTTTGAGAGTTTTGTGGTTGAGCTCCAAAGAGGAAAATATGCTATTAAATAGTGAGTATTCTTTACCTTACCGGTACGTTGTTATTGTCTATTTTTTCGCTGCTTCCTGCTCCTTAGTTTTGGATCTCATGCGCCCTTGCTAGTTTGGATTTTAAATTTAACTTGTGGAAACCCATATTGGATTTCGCTGAGAAAAATTAATGGTTTTTGGTCCTATCTGGTAGATTCTTCGTATACAACAAACTGGTTGGAAGAGCAGCCAGACGATTGTTGCCCTGAAGGAGAAGCTGCGTTTGTTATTAATAGTCGAGATGGGTGGGATGACGTTGGCAGACAAGAGAGCGCTTTTGTTGTCTGTAAATATAGAAGTACGGTTTCTAATTGAAGTTTTATAGTAGACGCTTTCTATAACACAGGCTCATGTAATTTATTCAGAAGGCATCAAGGAAACTTCGCCATCCCTTTTTGACGGCGTGGACGTTGACATACAACGAAAACGCCGAGAGGCAGCAACGGTTTCTTTTACATTGTTTATTTGCGTGGTCATTTGCATCTATGGCTAATTGTTTCTGGATGCTGAATGCCAGTTATGAGGACGAATTATACTTCTTATGCTTTTTTCGGCTTTATAAGGGTAAAATATACATTTCGTATGAAGTGCTTTTACAAAGTAATGCGTTAACCTTCCTGTAAGTTAGCAGTGAAGGATTACAATTAATTTACGTTGGTCACTTTACGTTGGTCATTTCAGCAAAAAGAGGGCAACAGAGTTCAAGACTGTGAGTTTTTAATGAACTTTTAATTTATCTTATAATAAGCGTTGAAAGCCACTGATTATAACTTTCCTATGTGAGAGGAATTTTTTCAAAACTAACTTTTTCATTTTTAGGGATGATCATTGCTGGAGCGGCTGGAGGAGGTGCGTTGTCCTTATGTCTCGGCTTGTTCATCGTATTATCAAAGAGAAATGCGATGGATATGGATAAAATACGTGAAGCCATTTACGATGCTGCAGCAGAGTATGCGGCTGTTTACGCTGAAGTAGCCCCAATGAGACTAGAGTCAGACGTAGAAGGGGCGAAATATGCATCTACTCGGTTAGCGGCAATTCCGGCAGGACTACAGGGAGAGGGAATTGTTGATCCCCGTCTTGAACCTGCTCAAGCATAGCTATGAAAAATAGTTCTTACTTTTTTCCATTGTCAAACTAACTTTCTTGCCGTTCTTGGAGTACGTGATGAGAATGGCTAAAATTAGCTTCCTTTCATTTCCTAGGTTCCACTAACTGATTTAGCCCTTCTTTTCACTGAAGGGGTTTTCTTGTACCTTTTATGCTTGGGAATTCTCTTTCGCTAGACTTTCCATGTGGAACAAGGTTGACATTTGTTAATGCTAACCATTTTTAAATTTAGTATCAAAATTTTTTCAGAGTTTGAGTTCACATCTGTCATTTATCTGACTTCTGCTCGATGAGACATGGTTAGTAATTTAGAAGTACTGAATTTTTGTCAGTCCTTTGCCTCCCTAATAGTTTACAAGGTTTTTTCGGACTCCGGACTGACATTCACCACACAAAGTCCGCATTTAACGTTTTTGAAAGTTGGCAGTTTATCACGACAAAGATTACTCGTTGACGCCCAAGCCCGTTCAACCGAAAGGGCAGGAAATCCATTTGACAATTAATCACCATTTATTTTACACGCATCTTTATTATGTTTTTGCTAAGTTTTTTACCCGCAGTTTTCTGGACTTTGTTGAGCTTTAGGATAAGAGTGATAAAGTTTTTTTCAAATCAAGGAAATAATAGAAGGTAACATAATGACGTTACTGGTTCTAAGTGTAATGCTAAAACATTTAAGGCAAAACTGAAATTGTAGAAGCACGCCTAAAACTTGACAAGTATTTCCTACTACAAAAGTTAGTTCTTCTAGGCGTTCATTATGTTCTCCTTTTATACTTTTTATTTGCTTCGCCTTTTTTCAGTTTTTTCGCTGAAACTTTTGAAGACCAGACGATTCTGACAGAATTTTCCCGCAAATTTTAAAGTACTGTCTTTTTTGTTTTATTGAATTATATTAGCAAATTTAATTCTCGATTGTTCTTCTCAGAGTTAAATGAGGATTATTCAAATAAGCAGTAAAGATTTGCTCTGAAAAATTAGTTTTACTTCTTTATCCTGATTATTATAATACTTTATGAAGAACTCAGTTTAATCGCAATGACGACGTAGAAATGTTCATGGTTGATGTACTAGTGAAATGCCTAACCAACGACATATTTAATCATTTGAACACTGTGTCAGTAACACCAGTGGCACTTTCCCGGCCGTTTCAATGAGTGAAAAAAGGAAAATCGCCTGTGTACCAAAATACTGAAAGACTTAGAGTACGTACTCAAAATGCAGAATAAACCATTCAATGAAAAATAACCTGCTGCTGTAAAACGGCACAAAAGAAAAAAAACAGTGCAGATTAAACTGCAACAATAAACTACTGCCAAAATCAGACATACTAAAATCCGTATGTTGATTGTTACTTTCGTTCTTCACTGTCTTCTCAAGAAGTAAAAAAGTGTTTCTCATAAAGTATGACCAAAGTCTCACTACAACAATTATAAGTTTTACTGCAGTATTTATCTGTTTCATTCTTTCATTAGATAAGAAAGTTTATGAATTTAGTGCATTCAAATTTGTAAATGTTACTCTTATATCTTTATTAAAATAAGTGTTGCATAGTAATATGTGTAATTAATAGTAATCAAAACGGTGCCTGAAAGTAATTGGTTTGTTTGAGTAAACCTTAGACTTCCCCAGCTTTATCACTTTTGTGTTCTCTTTCTTGGAAAAGAAGCCGTTGTCAATTTTCATTTCATGTTTTTCTCAGTAGTTATCTGAAGTAAGCCTAGGAGGTTTAGGGGCTGAAAAACTCAAAATAAACTGGTAACAATTAATAGATTCCAAACGTCTACTAAGTGGTTCAAAACGGTAAACAAGTATATCCATGATTTTATGTGGCCTTTTAAAAGCACATTCTATCTCGTTCTTTTTGATTTTCAAATAAATTAGTAAGAAATTTAACTTTTAAGGAGGAATAAACTCTTCCAGTCAAACTTGCCTATTTTTTACAATTAATTACCGAATTATCAATGACCAACAGCTGCTGTAGGCTATTTCGACTTCTGTAACACGCAAAATTCCCCAAGTTATTTCATTTATATACTACCGAGAATATGAAAGGAACAACAGGTTTTGTAAAAAGATGCCAAGAACACGAAGAGTCTGTTCAAACTTATCACTTTCAACAACCTGTTGCCCTTCCTTATTCACAGTGATTATCACGCAGGACGACACTTGTTCAACGGAAAAGTTTGCTGATAATTACGCTTTTTGTCTATGTGAGTTCTCAGTGTATCCATATAGATTTATTCGTTTGAAACTTAAAACGAGTTATATATTCCGGTAGAACGTATGACTAAGAGAGCAGGAGAGCAGTACGCTGGTTATCCTATTTAAAAAGAGGAACAAATTGGTCGATAAGTGCAAATCCTAATAAATTATACCTGTAATTAGCAGGACTCATCTATTGCCAAACTTGATAATAAAAGTAGTTTTTTACTGTAATTTAAAACTGCACTGTTACTGAGGTCTCAATGACGTTAAATTTAAGAAAAAATAGGTATATACAAGAATACAAATGACAATTGAAAGAACAGCTTCAAAGATACAATCTACGATCATCCGATACCCAGCGAAAACACATCCCTTCTTAATCTCATAAAAACTTATTTTACTTTCACTCTCACACACCATACCAGAGGAACCGGGAGAGTAATGAAAGTATGAACCCTGGTGTTCAACTTCAAAATTCAATTTCGCATTCAGCAGCAGTTTCATTGCTTTACCTTGCACCATCCTGTCTCCTTTCGCATCGTTTTATGTCATCGAATTATATTATTACTAAACGGCTTATTTTGTATCTTGAATAAATGCCTTATGTTTATTCACTCCCTAACATAATCCGTCAGGCGATCTGAAGTTTTTTCGGGCACCAAAGATTGCTACAAATGGCTGAGTTCAGTTGTAAATTCAGTCTTTTTCTCTCCTGCTTTTGATTTTGTCATTTCCAGAGCAACTTCCACGTTTTTATTTCTTTTAATAGTGTACCAACAGAAGAGACTGATTATTTAAAAAAAGTTCACTCTGTAATTCGCGTTTTCGTTAATCCATATTTGTCTTCATTATTTTGAATTTTAATTAATTGCGGTTCATGATGGCGGCTTTGTTGTCATTTAACAAAACAGAAAAGATAGTATAATGAGTTTACTGATCGTAACTATAATTTTATAAGATTAAAGAAAAAAATGGAGCTGTCTAAACACTCGCGATTGTTGAAGGACAATTATTACCGCCCGGTTTGGTGATATTGGACATTTGCGTTGTGTGACCTTGTGCTTGTTACCTGTTTTCCGTTTTTGTAATTGTCTCTAATGAATTTCTAAGGATTGAATGATTATGGCCATGTTCTTTCGTCCCTTTTTCAAATAAAGCTACTTCTTTTTCTTTAATAAACTGTTTTCTTCAAATTTAGTTCTCGCTCGTTTTCTTCAGGTTCCGCGTTAGTTACTAAAGTCAGCTAGCCAGTTACGGGACGTAATCTTCAATTTACGTAGGTATTCATTTAGGAGTGCTCGTAGGAAGCCCGTCTACCGCATTATTAGCTACTATGCGGCAACGGACAACCCAGTCGTCCTCTAAGATTTAACTACTGCAATGACAGCAAAGTAAAGAAAAAATGTTGAAGTTTTTATAACTGATTAAAAAAATTTTTTTAAAATAACTTGTTACACTATGATATTTTAAATAATGAAGAATTCAGTTCTGTTGCAATGACTACGTAGAAGTTTTGACGCTTGATATTCGAATAAAATGCTTAATCAGCAATAGATTTAACTGAGTGAAAAGATATCGTCAACAACACCAATGACATCTCTCCAGCTGTTTGAACAAATAAAAAAAAGAAAATCATCTGTATACATAAAAACTGAAAAACTATGCACTCCTTTCACTGAAAATTGTCTATAAAACACACCAAAAAATTCAAAAACTCATACGCAGATAAATTTTTTTTCAATTAAATTAATATATTTACTTGCAATGAACATGTGCACAAACAACGGTTTAGGTTCTCAAAAAAAAGAAAAAAAAAAACACAACCATCATAATGATTCCAAGGAGTCGCTTAAAGATTCAAGACTTCCAGTCAACAAGAGCCGTTCATTTGTGCCGTACCAGTTCGATAAATCTCACCTATCGGTTTATTGCCTGAATCGTAACGACTATCAAAGGTCGGGACCAGATGTAAGTATTTCACTCATCTGACACAAAATGTTGCAATTAATCCAGTTTGTTAGAGCAATTACAAAACAACAAAAAACAATTTAAAAAATTCTCTGCATCCAAAACCAAATATAAAGATGTAGCACTAATAAAATTTCTTACAGGTCAATAGAGTACATTTTCTTTCAAACAACAAAAATACATACCGAAATGCAACGAATAAACCGAAGTAATTTAATAACGGTTAAGCTAGATAATTTATCATGGTGAACTGGTGAGGAATAAGTGATTTAAAAAGTGAAAAAAAGCGAATAAAAAGCGACAGTAATAATCGGAAATTTTTTAAACAGATATTAACGTTACAGAGATTATGTGTCAAAAATTGTCGGTTTTTTAATGCTTTTCGTTTGTACTAATTAAAGCAGAGAGAGGTAAAAAATGCTGGCATAAAAAATATTGAAACACAGTTTAAACGCTACTGAGTTTTGCTACATAAAATTCAAGACCTTAGACTTTGGAAAGATCTAAGCATTTTTTGGACCATTTAAAACAGAAAGGTCCTTTCAAACTTGTTATAATCTATCCAACTTAAGAATTACAACACGACAGGTTGACTAAAAGACGTTGACCTGAGTTCTGTTGCCTTGTAGAACCTAAAAACTTTCGATTTGAGTTGTGGTGCTTCAAACAATCCAGAATCCTACTTCTACCTTACCTAAAACATCTTTTTTTGTAAATCTCGTATAAAATACAATCTCTTTAAATTTTTCATGAATTTCACTACCCGCTACAGCGTAAAGCAGTTTGGCTGGCTTAATTCCAGTATTTCGTCATTTTACTAATATTTTTTTACCGCATAATCAAATCTGGAGGGTCAGAACTTCTTCCCGAAGTTGTTTTTTGTGTATCCTCTGCGCAACATACACCTGATGCACATTTTTCACTCGCTTTTTACCTTGTACACAAGTATTTTCCGTAAACTTATGAAAATAATTTGTGAACTCAGTATGACCTTCTGTGTGGAACATAGATAGGTTCTAAGCAATCTTTCTTATATTCAAGCTATTCTTCTCAAAATGCAGTAATACTGGTAGAAAGCAGAAGAAAAGCGCTACCTTACTTTGTTTTCCGCCATCGGCAACTGATACAGACTTTTTAACTGAAACTGCAGCTTAAAACCTATCAGCCTTTGACATTTTTTAAAGACTGAGCTAGACTCTTAAACGCTTTTTTCTTTTTGTTTTCAAGTGCAAAATTTTATTGCTCAGGAAAACGTGATACAGGAGAAGAATCAACCTAAGAACAAAGAAAGCAATAAAGAATTACGCTGATTCTTAAAAATACTCACAATCCGACAGTTACTACTAATATTTTCAGCCAAGAAATCATAAATTACCTTCTAATGGCATAACAGCTATATGATTAAGCTATCTACCCATCATTACCACATTTGGAGATGGACGGGTTTGATGTGTCAAAAAGCTTCTAAGAGAGGTCTAAGTCTCAAGCGAAAAAACCCTACAGTTTGTATAAATCACCTAAGAAATTCATAATAAAAATTACTCGCACACCAAAGACAAAACATTAGCACGGCACGTGTCCTGCGTGAAAGCAGGTAAAAAGACATAAATGACAGCCACGAGCTAAAGTTTAGGTCTGTTCTGATCAACTTTGCCTTGAAAGCAGCATGCAAAGTTGCGAAATAATGGAATTTGGCCAACCCAGACGCTTTCCGCTGCGGCGAATCGTGGATACAGAAGATAAAGGAAAGGACCTGTACGCAGGGGAACTGCACGAACAAGAGCTTTTTAAGTTGCCTAATTGAGAATAACAACTACAGAATCATTGTCTGGAATATTGGCAAATATTTATGGGTCCTGTGGCGAACAGTTAACAAGCTTTTGTACAAAAATTTTGGTTTGTTGGAATAATGAAACGTGCACTCTGTGATACCCATATCTCCCAGTATCTGCTTGTTATAGTGTCCAGTCACTCCATCGTTGCTTCGACTTGGCAGTTTTGGTTTTGTAAAGTGGTAGCAAAAAGAACTCAGAAGTAGTGTAACGAATGTTAATCACCAACTGGAGCGCTTTAGAATTCAATGGACAGAAGCTGCTATTGGCGAAGTCCTAGTGGCTCCTACAGCGATCGTCCTTTCTCTTATAGTTCTTTCTATTTTGATTATCTTTTTTGCTGTTAGGGAGTTATTTTTCTTTTCAATTAAGGAATGCTGTTACTGTTAATGTTATAATTATTACTGTTTTTTTCTTGCGGTCAACCTGGGCCGATTACCGAAGTTAGTGATACTTTTTGTTCAGGAAGCCTTATTTGCGGCAGTGCTTTATCTAACGTTTCTCGGCGCGCTTTCAATTTACCGGTAGGGGTAGTCAAAACGAACTGAAAATTAGGCATCAGAGATGAAAATCAAATGCCCGAATTAACTTACTGGATGGAATTTTTTCTAGTTTAGCTCTGTTTTCGCCGTCACTAACTTTCAAATTATTAGTTAGAAGTTGCAAGATTATGGTTTTTGAATACTTTGAGGGGGTGGTCGGACGAATCAGACAAGAAATTCAGTGGGTCAGGCTTCGCGCTGTATCAAATTAGTTTTAACAAAAATACAATTTTGCTTTTTAGATCAGTCATTGGCGGAAGAAGTTTTCCACTTCAAGTCAATTTTTTTGAGGTGAAGCTCCAATTCCTCAAACGAGCAGCTGTGGTCAGTGCATTTGGTGAGAAGCATCCACTCGAGGGCGGATTGCTTATCATTTTGCTGATAGAAGACCATCACTAAGGGCACCTGATTACTGCTGAGATAGTGTTTCCTTAATTTAAGTTACTATGTGGAAATAAACAAATAGACATTGCATACGCAGAAGCTTAAGTTTTTTTTCTTCAACAATAACTGGCATTGATAAGGATTTGTTGTTCTTTGTTTGGCAATTTTGTTTTATGAATTTTGTTGCTTTCCCATTATAATCTCTCACGCAGAAAATGGCCAGCTGAAAGCGGAATTAGGCGAGACCTAAAAGAGATTTCTGTAGTTTTAACGAAACGTTCAGACTCTTAGCAAATTAAGTTCTCTTCCATTGTTTGAAATAACAGCGAAATCCAATTCTGCAACAGGTCATTTTTGTGCAAAAAAAAGCGCTTTTGCCTTTAATCATAGAGAATACCCAGTCATTCCAATTCACAGTGTATAAAGGAGTTCTGGTAAAAAACGTTTACAGTTGTACTCATTTTTTGCGTAACGGACTGCTCATTGAAATTCCTCCCAACGTTTCGCACTCTACCATCGCTTCTTGTTTCACAGTTTTAGCGTTACCCGAATCTTTTTTG